TCTTCTTCTTCTTCTTCTTCTTCTTCTTCTTCTTCTTCTTCTTCTTCCTCCTCCTCCTCCTCCTCCTCCTCCTCCTCCTCCTCCTTTTCTTCTTCTTTCTTCTTCCTTTTGCAAGTCTTCCATGCTGGTTTGGAGGGAAGCATGCCATCAGGTGGATGGCTGGATGGCTGCATTGTGAAATTAACAGCTGAATGCTGGTTTCTGTTACAGCATTGGGGCAACCACATCCTTGGTCTGGATTTCTGGCTGCTAGAGATTGATCAAATGCCCTTCCCTCTCTCTGTGTATGTATACACTATATCTCTATTTATACCTATCTATCTAATCCATCTTATCTGTCTTTCTGTCTGGTTATCTTTTCAAAGAAAAGAAAGATAAAAAAGCAAGCTGTCTGTCTATCTGTCTGTGTATCATCTACCTACCTACCTCTATCTGTCTGTCTGTCTGTCTGTCTGTCTATCTATCTATCTATCTATCTATCTATCTATCTATCTATCTATCTCTGCTATCTATCATCTATGTCTATCTATCTATCTGTCTGTCTGACTATCTATCTAATCCATCTTGTGTTCTTGTCTGTCTTTCTGTCTGGTTGTCTTTTCAATGAAATAAAAATAAATAAAGATTAAAAAGCAAGGAATCTATCTATCTGTTTATCTTCTATCAGTCTATCATCTATATCTATCTATCTATCTGTCTGTCTGTCTATCTATCTATCTATCTATCTATCTATCTATCATCTATCTATCATCTTATCTGTCATCTGTAACTCTCAACATGGCCAGGTTTCTCAACCTAACCCATCCAGAATGATGAACGTGAACTTTTACAAGTTGGGTTGAGAATTTGGAACATCTCAGAAGAACAGTGTTCAATCCAAAATGAACAACATTTTGAGGTTACAATGTTTACAGAATATAGAATAACAGAGTCGGAAGGGACCTTAGAGGTCTTCTAGTCCAACCCCATCATTGAGCAGAAAGCCCTATACCATTCTGGACAAACGGCTGTCCAATCTCTTCTTGACCACCTCCAGTGATGAAGCACCCACCACTTTTCAACTTGAGTTTGATTCAACAGTATCCTGAAGAAGAAAATTGAGTTCAGAATAACAGAGTTGGAAGGGACCTTCTAGTCCAACCCCTGCTCAACAGGAGACCTTATACTATTCTTGACCAACGGCTGTTCAGTCTCTTCTTAAAAATCTTCAATGTTGGAGCATCCACCACTTCTGGAGGGAAGTTGTTCCATCAATTATTCTGTTAGGAAATTCCTCCTTAGTTCTAGGTTGCTTCTCTCCTTGATTAGTTTCCATCCATTGCTTCTTGTTCTTCCTTCAGGTGATTTGGACAATAGCTTAGCCCCCTCCCCTTAATATCTCCATCTGTATTTCATCCAAAGTTTGGGTTTCCCATACCATAAAGTCTTAATATTTCATTGTACAAGACTTTTTAAATTAGAGCAGCCTCGATAGAATTTGTGGTGGCTCATAATTTCATGTCATGATTTACATTTTGTTCGCCACCGTTTCTGAAAACAAATCCTGATATTCTGCTGCATTGTGTTTTCAGAGTTCAACAGTGGTTTGTGCAATGAATTAATTGCATATCAAAGAATTATAAGATCTACGATGCTTAAAAATGCTCTTTTATCTTTGCTCTTTTATCTTGCTCTTGTATCTTACTCTTCTACCCATTTGAATGTTTTCCTTCTTTGTATTTGTTTAATTCCCTAATACGTTTAACTTTATAAATATACTGCATGAAGAATGACGAATATGGGTAGCTTCTGTTCAGTAACCACATGCTGCAGTGTGAAATGAATGAATGGCCCTTAAAAATGTTCTTTGGGTTTTAAATGAGGGCTGAAAGCTCTAGCTGATTGATTGGGCCCAATTAAGTCCTACAAACCACATTAAAATGTGGATTTAATCAGATTTCAGCTCAAGCTCTTCCAGCTATCTCTGTACGCCTATTGATTCAAGATGTCTGTCTGCCCTAGGAAGTCGCAAGGAGCATGATAAATGATTGAGGGAACTAGGTATGTCTGGTCTCACAAAGAGAAGGACCAGGGGTGATATGATAGTAACCTTCCAGTACTTGAGGGGCTGCCACAGGGAAGAGGAAATCGACTTATTCTCCAAAGCACCTGAGGACAGGACAAGAAGTAACGGGTGGAAGATCATTAAAGAGAGATCCAACCTAGAACTAAGGAGAAATTTCCTGACAGTGACAACAATTAATCAGTCCCTCCAGAAGTTGTGGGTGCTCCATCACTGGAGTTTTTCAAGAAGAGAGTAGACAGTAATCTGTCCAGAATTGTATAGACTACTAGAAGACCTCCAAGGCTGTTTCCAAAGTTATGATTTTATGTTTTATGACCTACAAAACTAACTAACCATCTAGGGTCAGTTCTCTTTCTCAGGTCAGGGAAGATGTTAGGTACAGAAAAAACCCCAAGACAATATTACGGTTTAAAACAAGGGTGTCCAACCTTGGCAACTTTTAAGACCTGTGGACCTCAAGTCCCAGAATTCCCCTAGCCAGACACGGGAGTTAATTCTGGGAGTTAAAGTCCACAAGTCTTAAAGTTACCAAGGTTGGGCGCTTCTGGTCCAGAACAATAAGAACCCAGCCTGTTTCTTAGTTCTTGGAACATACATAAATGTCCGTGAAAAGGTCCATGAGCAATAAAGATTGTTTCCCACACAAATCTAATGTAGGATGTGATTGATGCAGGTTAGGTCAGTGAGCACAGCTCCTGCTTGGTGGGTGAGGGCAAGGAAGAGCTTGACCAAGAGGATCCCCTGAAATTAGATAGTTGAAAGACAAGCTGGGCCCCCTTGTCGTAGCTTGTGCGGGGTGAATGGCCAGGCAGGGAATCTTGGTCAGGAGAAAATGAGGGGGAAGGAAGAAGCCCAGCAACCCAGATAAGGCCGGAGTTATCAGCCTATAAAAATACCACTTTCACTTATCACTTCTAGTGTTGCAGCTGTGGCAAAATTAGGGCTGAAGGGGGGTGGGAAGAAAGAAAGGAGGGGGAGAGGGAGAGGGAAAGAGAGAGAGGGAGAGAACCAAGCAAAGCTTTCTAGTATTCCACAGATGTTTGGTTAAGAGAGAGAGAAAGAGAAGGAGGGAGAGGGAGAGGGAGAGAAGGAGAGAGAGAGAGAAGGAGAGGGAGAGAGAGAGGGAGAGAGGGAGAGAACCAAGCAAAGCTTTCTAGTATTCCACAGATATTTGGCTAAGAGAGAGAGAGAGAGAATGGGAAAGGGAAAGAGAAAAAGAAAGGGAGAGGGAGAGGGGGAGGGAGGGAGAAAGAGAGAGAGAGAGAGAGAGAAAGAGAGGGAGAGGAAGAGAGGGAGAAGGAGGGAGAGATGGCCACTGAATGGGAAATTGACTGCAACGTGCAATAAACCTGCCTTAATCATCGGATTCTTCTCTGCTCTGGAAAGCATGAAACCAAAGCGACTCATAACCAATCTGGACCCGCAACACCCCACCGCTGGGACCAAAGGCACCCCCCCCACACACACAAAAATCAAGCCGGAGCCCCTATACCATTTCTGACAGATGGCAGTCCAGTCTCTTCTTGAAAGCTTCCAATGATGAAGCAAAACCATGCCTTCAACGTGGGGCTCGAACCCACCACCCTGAGATTAAGAGTCTCATGCTCTACCCACTGAGCTAGCCGGGCACTTAACCTGGTTAACGTAGCACCAAGTCAGTGCAATTTTTTGGGGGGGGGGGGGGGGGGGGACGGTATTTCAAAAGATATCGATACAGGCAGGGAAGTCCTTTGTCTTTCAATGGAATTCCTCTCTGCCTTTTTCAGAATTGCAGGAAATGGGTAGTTTAGTGGAAAAAAGGGTTAGGGGTGACAGGGTAGCAGCCTTCCAATATCTGAGGGGCTGCCCCAAAGAAGAGGGAGTCAAGCTGTTTTCCAAAGCCACCAGAAGGCAGAATAAGAAACAGTCGATGGAAACTAATCAAGGCGAGAAGCAACCTAGAAATAAGGCGAGAACAATTCAACAGCGGAACAATTTGCCTTCAAACGTTGTGATTGCCTCCCTCACTGGAGGTTTTTAAGAAAAGACTAGAGAGCCATTTGTCTGAAATGGTATTGCTTGGTGCCTTCCAACTCTGTTTTGATATTGTTCCTCCCAAAAGGTGAAACGTGTACTTCGGATGAAAATCAAAGCTCTCGCTGAAGTATATCTTATATACTATATAGTAGGTTAGGGATTCAATAATGCACGCCATAATGAATAAATTAGTTGGTGGAAATTTCTGCCAGCAATTTCCAGGACAGTCTTATTGAGAAGTTAAGTTCCCATTAAACTCGGCGCTAAACACGTGCATAATTTCGGCCCGAAATCCGTGCTTTTTCACGACTAATGTCACGTCTTCTTAATTCTCGCTCTCGGGCTTCCCAAAGCGCGTGGCTTCGATTTGGCTTAAACCCAGCCCGTTGTGGTTTGTCTAAGAAACCACGGCTAAATAAACCACTGTTTAGTGCGATCTGCACAGGCGGCTTAAAACAAGTGGTAAAGAGACCTTAAAACGCATAGGATCAAAACAAATCCAAAACAATTTCTCACCGAACAGAGTAGAAATCAAACTAACTGGATTACTCCGACACGGACTGAAGGAGCATATATTTTCTGACTAAATCACTTTGATTAGTTTGCTCATTTTCGGACTAACATTGAAGTTGTTCTGCCGCCCTAATAAAGATTTGATTTAATTCCGACTAATATATTTTACTGTAAGGTTTTTTTTTTTAAAAAAAGCTAACGCTTTTAAATCAAAGTTGCTATTTGGAAAAGATGCTAAAATACCTCTTTTAATTTCTAGCTACTGGACATCCACTCAGCGCTCCTCCTACAACAAACTCTCTCTGTGTGTGTTTGTTTGTGTGTCTGTGTGTTTGTGTATAGTCCTTAGTGCTCCCTGAGTTCTGTGGTTTGCATGAAAACATGTCATTACCCGAGTAGGCAATTGTATCGGTGCTTTTACAGGCTAGTGTGCATTTTCTCTACTTTTCTCACGTTAGTACACAACATCTTCCGAATGCCCAAGCCAGCTCGACTTATCTTCCTTTCGCCCGCCCACATATTCCAAGGGTCTTCGACCCCTTAGAAGGCAGCCACTCGAGAGCCTGCCTCTCTTTCTTTCTTTCTTTCTTTCTTTCTTTCTTTCTTTCTTTCTTCTTTCTTTCTTTCTTTCTTTCTTTCTTTCTTTCTTTCTTTCTTTCTTTCTTTCTTTCTTTCTTTCTTTCTTCTTCCT